GGGGGTCCTGGGGGGGTCCTGGGGGGGTCCTGGGGAGGTTTGGGGGGTCTGGAGGGGTCCTGGGGGGGTTTAAAGGGGGTTTGGGGTGAAACTGGGGGGTCCTGGGGAGGTTTTGGGGGGTCTCAGGGAGGTTTTGGGGGGTTCTGGGTGGGTTTTGGGGGTCTCCGGGTGTTTTTTTGGGGATCTCTGGGTGGTTTTTGTGGGCCCTGCGTGTTTTTTGGGGTGGTTTGGGATGTTTTTGGGGGTTTTTTGGGGTGTTTTTGGTGTTTCTTGGGTGCTTTTTGGGTGTACTTTGGGTGTTTGGTTGTTTTGGGGTGTTTCTGGGTGGTTTTTTTGTGGTTTTGGGATGTTTTTTGGATATTTGTTGTCGTTTTGGGGCGATTTTTTGTGGTTTTGGGTGTTTTCAGGATGTTTTCGGGATATTTTCGGGATGTTTTTGGTTGTTTTTTGGGTGTTTTTGTGTATTTTGGGGGTTTTTTGGGTGTTCTTGTGTATTTTGGGGGTTTTTTGGGTGTTTTTGTGTATTTTTTGGGTGTTTTCCGGATGTTTTGGCTTGTTTTGGGGCGATTTTTTGTGGTTTTGGGTGTTTTTCAGGATGTTTTCGGGATATTTTCGGGATGTTTTTGGTTGTTTTTTGGGTGTTTTCGGGATGTTTTGGCTTGTTTTGGGGTGTTTTTTTGTGGTTTCGGTAGTTTTTTGGGTGTTTTTTTGGGGGGGGTGACGCTGATTTTGGGGTTCCCCCCAGGCCGAAGCCGCGGCCGGAGGGGGGGGGGTGGCAGAAGTGGCCCCGGGCCTATCACGGCACCAGCGCCGGCGCCGTGCGGCGCAGCCTCGACCGCGGCGAGCTCGTGCCAGGTGGGCACCCGGAAACGGGCACGGGGATCCCGAAAATGGGCATGGGGACCCCAAAAATGGGCACGGGGACCCCAAAAATGGGCACAGGGACCCCGAAAATGGGGAGAGGGACCCTAAAAATGGGGAGAGGGACCCCAGAAACAGGCATGGGGACCCCAAAAACGGGCACGGGGACCCTGAAAACGGGCACGGGGACCCCGAAAACGGGCATGGGGACCCCAAAAATGGGGAGAGGGACCCTAAAAATGGGGAGAGGGACCCTAAAACGGGCATGGGGACCCCGAAAATGGGGAGAGGATCCCCAAAAATGGGGAGAGGGACCCCAAAAAGGGGGAGAGGGACCCCAAAAATGGGGAGAGGGACCCTAAAATGGGCACGGGGACCCCGAAAAGGGGGAGAGGGACCCCAAAAATGGGCACGGGGACCCCGAAAGAGGGACAGGGACCCCGAAACGGGCATGGGGACCCCAAAAATGGGGAGAGGGAACCTGGAAATGGGGAGAGGGACCCCAAAAACGGGGAGAGGGACCCAAAAATGGGGAGAGAG